GGGGCCGGCCTTGCCCGCGGCGCCTCTGTGCCCGTCTCTCTGCAGGGGGGTACCGGAGCATCACTCGGGACCTGGCACTCGCCTGGGGAGACCTGGACTCCGTGGAGAGCGCTGCTGGCGCACGTGGGAAATGCTGAGACCCGTCCTCATGGGTCAAACGTGCTCAAGCTCCTTCCCTGAGGTGTCTGGGCTGCCTCCTCCTTCAGCTACCTTTCGTCCATAATAGGCATCTCTTTTTTGTTCCTTGGTCCCAGACAGCGGTACCTCAGGCGGCCGTGCTGGCCGCTTGTTGCTGTGAACAGACCCGAGCCCATTTCCCAGCAGGAGCATCTCATCCTCTAGTGAAGTGGCAAAAGCCGAGCCCTCTTCTCTCCTCTTCTCCTGCCTGCAGGTTGGCAGCTGGCAATTGCAGAGAGGGAGGAGAGGATTCGTCTGCTCTACACCAAAAGGGAAGTACAGACGGTCATGTCTGGGCGGCCTGGTTTTAATCCTGTTCTGTGACGGGACAGACAGTTACGTGTTACCCCGGGTGGGACCTTTGCTGGGGGAAAGCGCAGAGCAAATCTGGATTAGTTATGGGCGGTCATTGCCCTTTCCACCTGGGTACTGTTATTTTGCTACGCAGAAAGTGTTTTTTTTGCATGGAAGTTGTTGGTTTGAGAGTTACTGCTGTTATTTTTAACCACAGAGATCCTTCCACAATTGCGATGGGTTATTTATAGTCTGTCCTCTCCACGCACGTTGGCCAAACTATTAAAATAAATGCAGGACTTGGTGTCCTACATCAGTTCTTGCCCCCCAGTCCTGGGGGGCTGCTGCGGTGCTGCACCGACGCCGGCTGCGCTCCTCTCCCCAGAGATGCCCAGGGATGTGCAGCCTCATGCAGCCTTCAGAGATCATCCCAAAAATGCAGGCTTGGAGCGTGAGGTTCCACGGGGATGCCGTGGCCTGCCTGAGGGAGCACATTGCTCGGAGCGTCCCTGCTGTGGCGTGGAAGGAGGGATTCAGGGCGGTGCAAACCCCACAATTGACATCAACCCACAGAAGGGCTGTTTCGGGGCTCGGATGCTTCATGGAGGTCACCAGGGGCCCAGCCCCGGGGAGGGATGGGCACGTGCCCTCGGGGGAGCCGCACGGATTGCCCGCGCTGCACACAAACGGGCTCTAGAAAACCATCCATTCAGCAAAGCCGGGTTTCCGTGACTGTTTGTGTACGATTGCTGGGGCTGGAGCGCAACGAGGCAAGTCATTCCCAAACTGTTTTTCATCCCTTTTTCAATTGGAGGCAAATAATAGAGAAGTAATGAATCGTTATTGAGTTTGCAGTGGTGTAGCTGCCTGCCCGGGGACGAACGAGCGACCCGCTGAACCAGCTTTGTCCCGTGGGAAAGCTGTGTCGGAAGCCACCGTTTGCGTTAAGAAAAAAAAGCCACGAAGTCGCCTGGTCTGGCCTGGCGGTCAGGACCATCTCCCGTGTGCCCCGGGAGCCGGCGGGGGCTGGAGGGCTTTCCTGCCGCGACGGGACACGGGCAGATCCGGAGCTGCCTCAGGTAGATAAAGTCCGGTCACCAGGGCCTCATCCTCACTGCAGCCCTGAGCGCGCTGTGGGTCAGCGGCGGCCAACTGCCGCGAGGTCGGATGCGGAAAGAAGGGCAGGGCTGGAAGAAATTGCTTGTAAATAGATCGTCTTCCATAATTCTCATGCAACTTTGATGGCCGTGTACTAAAATTAAGCCAGTGTAAATGAACGAGATACTAACAGTTATGATTAGAATGATTGCTTTTTTTTTTTTAAACATGGAATGATAAATGTGAAATTTGGACAGGGGAAGACATTGGGTTGAGGTTTCTATTTTTTTTTTTGACATTTAATTCTGTAATAGAAATTTGTTACTTCATTCCTGTGCATAACTTATTTAATGTACTGTATAAAGGAACCCAAACTGTTACAGATGTATTTAGTTTGTTCTACTCCAAAGTAGTCAATAAAAAGACTATATTCATCACGCCGCTCCCTCTTCCTCTCTGGGAAGGAGCAGAGGGGTGCTGCGGGGCGCAGGCTGCCGCCGGCCTGCGCCAGCGCCGGAGCAGGTGCATTCGGCCCCTTACTTGGCAATTTTGGATTTCTTTGAGTTTATGTTTAAATAGGTCCTTTCTGACCTTTTTTTTTTTTTTTTAATAGTTTGCGCACAGACCAGCCCACAGACCCTGATGGGGGGACATCATTTGCCTCGTCCGAGGCTCCAGGCTGCTGCAAACGCTAATCCAGTGGTTAAGAAATCCAAAATTGGGGGCGAAAGCTCACATGAGCCGGGGGAGGCTGCTGGTGGCCCCTGCAGGTAACCGAACC